TCACAGGAGCAGTAATGAAACACTCAGCCTCCCCAGGAGAACCATCCACTGAGAGCATGCTCTGCCTGGCTATGGAGCAGGGAGGCCAAAGCTTACGTGCAGATGCTCACCCTGTCCCTGTGGACCCATTCGTGGGTTATCTCAGAGGTGGGAATCCATCTGCAGGACAGGCTTATTGATCCAATTCTCTTCTAGTTTGGCTGCTATTTTGAATACAGTTTTTCCCTTTTTAGATGTTATAAGGAATCACATTTACTAGTCAGACTTAATTTTCTTTCCTATAATCAGGATTTTTTAAGATCTACTTGTAAACTGTTCCCATGTCTCTGACGAGAAGTAGTTTAGACTCTGAATCCTGGTGTCACTCTGTGTCGATGGGACCCCTGCTTGAACACGTTCTGTGCTGGTTTCACTCTGCTCTGTGTGAAGGAGGTAGGTGTGCACAGCACAGGCTGCCAAGCTCAGGGGAGCCACTGAGGTGGCCTCTATGGAGAACGTTTGCTGACCCCTGTCCCGGTGTAACAGGCCGACTCCTTTTCCCACTGTATTTCACAATCTAAGGAATCAATTTCCTTGAATAATTAATATCTTCCATATTAAGAGGCTTGGCAGCCTTGAGCAAGTCATGAACCTTCCTGCCTGCTGGTTCCCAGACTCCTATCAATGAAGGAACAAACACTCACCTTATCTGATGGCTACCCTGTGTGCAGCACTGTCGTGGACATCACCTCATTTAACCTTCCCAGCAGTCTTGGAAGGTAGATGCTGTTCCCCCCAGTTTCATGGGTGAGGAAGCTGGAAATCAGAGTCACGGTGAATTGGCCAAGTCCACAGCTAAGAAGAATTCCAGGTCTTTTCACTATAAGAGATGGACCTCACATTTCATGGCCTTTGGGGTTTAAGGGACCCTGGAGTCATCTGGTGTAGGTTAGAGCTGGCCAGAAATTCCTGACCTTGTTGTGGGTACTTTCATTATTTTTGAGTTTGAAGCTGATAGAGGATCCGAATTCGCATTCAGTTGTGGACAGATGTGTAGTTGTCACCATCCATCTGTACATACTTCTCTTGTGAGAGAATGTGCTGTTTTCTAAATAAGGGAAAGAGGCAAATAGCTTTTGTAGAGGATTTTACCCAGCCCTTTGAGGTTTCACTTAAACAGCAGAATTTGTGTATTTCTTTCTTTTATGTCAGCGTCTGTGAACCTAGTAATTCATGGTATGTTTAATTGATAGCTTTGGAAAACATAGTCAATGTTGCTATTATACAGAACAATCATTTGATTACTAAGTATTACCAGTTGTCAAAGCATGATTTGTTTATAAAATATACTCTGTGCTTTCTGATGTCCATGTCAAGAGGTATTAAAAGAAATTATTGCTTATAAATTTTATGACCCTATATAAATCTTTTTCAGTTCAATTTCTCAGTTTTCCTTTAAAAACCCTTAAATTTTGCAGATTCTTTTCTGTTTTGCTTAGGAGTAGTATTAACATCAACTTTGGACAGCTGTGAGCTGATCCATTTAGACTGGAGGATCAGTAGTCATTTTAGCACCTACTTTGTGCACAAAATGCAGGGATCCAGAAATGAGTTGTCTCTATTCTTCGAAGTTTTACTGTCCTTTTGGAGAAACAAGAGACACCCACTGCCTGTCCACCGTGCAACACCCCACCATGCAAAGAAATAATACTGACCTAACTCATAATATCAGATCTGTCTGTCCCCAGGGTGGCGGCACAGACGCGGGGTAGCGAGGGGAGAGGGGCGCTGTGGAGGAGCCGGGCTTCTCGGCACAGCTGGTCTTGTGCTCTGGAACTCCGTGAAGCCAGATGCGTTCCCATCTTTGCCACTCCTCCTGTCCTCCTGCCTGAATCCTGACTCCAGCATATTCTCACCCAAACTGTCCCTTTCTCTCAGCTTCTCACCAGCATCGCTGAGACTCAGAACAGTTCTCCTCTTTGGCTCCCTTCTCTTCTTTGTGCCCCTTACCTGGCATTTCTTTCAAAGTCCCCAGCATACCTGTTTCTGCTTGTTCTTCCTATCGCCTGTGCTGTGTGATTCCACGTGCTTTGTTTCTAGATTATTGCAGTACTGTCTCTTTTGCCTTCCTGAAACGATGGCTTTCCAGACACACTCCCTGCTTGCAGTTTGTCAGTGATGCCCCACATCTCTCATCTCAGTGTGACTGGCCTCCCGAGCCCTCCCAAGCCTCACATGTCCTGTGTTGTCTGTCTTCCACCAGTGAGCCTCAGCCGTCCATGATCGCACCTCTTTCAGTCAGCTGTTCCCTCCCCTCGGCTGATTCAAATCCTGTTTCAAGACCCCACTCAGACCACGAGCTCAGTCTAATTGTTTCCCACCTTTACCGCTGGCTTCCTTGTTAGTCCTGATCTAAATTTGCTGTGCTTAAATCTTCGCGTTCTGTGTGTGAATGGGGTGATCGTCTTGACTTCACTGCTCTTACAGGTGTCCATGCGGACCAGAGAATGCTGCACATAGGCAGATTTCTACTCGTGTTGTGGGTAGCGCTTTCCGCATTAATGAAAGCAGTCATCTTAAGTGATTAACTATGACTTCACGAGGCTGACTCCTCAGGTGAGATGTGTGGAGTCATTGACAATGCCAGCCCAAGGAGAGCTGGTTGTATCTTCCTCTCCCCTTTTGGCAGCACCCACCAGAGCAGGTGCCCTGTGCCCTCAGATTCAAAAGTGTGCCAGGCTCACTCAGGTGTCCAGATTTCTGCTTTTCAGACTTCAGTCAGAAGATGCAGGTTAAGTCCTGACTCAGCCACGTACTCCCTATTGCTCCTGATTGCCACCCACCCACCCTCACCTCAGCCTGTTGAACTGCCTGCTCCCAGGGGAGTCGCAAGGGCTGGCAGAGACAAGGATCTGAGCCCAATTGTGTAAGCCCTGCAACACGGTGCCACGTTGTACCCGTCCGACAGAATGCACATGCAGCTGACTACCTTTAAGGTGTTTCAGGTCAGAGGTCCGCAGTCTTGGGGTGGTGCAGAGCTTCTCCGGGCTGATCCCACTCCAGGGTGCTGGAGCACCAAGGGAACAGACACACCAACTAAACTTCCCTGCCCTCATACCCAGAGATTGGCTGCGTCCACGCAGCTCTAATCTACGCACCTGAAAGTGTTTTCTGAGGCTAAGGCTCTCCAGCCGTGTGCTTCGGAAGAGCAGAAGAGATGGGCAGAGGGTTAGGGGAGGACCAGGGGCTTTGGATGTATGCTCTTTGTGAATCTTAAAACTTGGGGTGTCATTTACAAGGAAAACAAGGGGCAGGAACAGCTGACCCTTTGTGTTGGTAGCAAAGCTGCTTTGTTTGAAGACAGTCTGTGCTTCCTCTTCAAGGACTTCCCCCCAGGGCCCCACAAACTCCCGTGAGCCATGCTTGAAAACCACCAGCCTCCAAACACGGTGCTTCCTAACTGAACCAGGCGGCCCAGAGGAGCAAGATGGCTGCAGAGCAAGTCTTTGGAGACCAAGACAGGCTCCCAGGTCCTGATTCCAGGTGCAGTCGTTTCCTTATGACTCCAGGCTGTACACACCTTTCACCATATCGTATCTTTAGGGCTTTCTGAAGTAGTATTCTTATCTACAATAAACCCAATCTGAACATTCAGAGTATAGTTAGCATTGCCTTGTGCCTATGTGCACAGATGACACACCGTTCGTGTTTTTAGACCACAGCTAGGCCAGTGTACATATGTGATAGCAATTACAGCATGTTTCTGAAGCCAATCACAGCATCTGTTTGTTTTTAACATTATATCATGGAGAAGGTTTGCTACAAGGACATTTATCACTCCTTTTTAAATGGAAGTAAAACTTCCTCTCCAGAGCGTGATGAAATTTCAAGGCTGAACAAATTCAACACTAGACGTATTTTATATTTTAAATTATAAAATCAGTTGAAATAAAAGCATCTTCCAGATTAAGAACAGAGCTTCCATCAGTCATTCTGATTTTCGGTCTTTGTAGAGATTCTGCTCCCAACAGGATCTCCTGAGCGCACAGTAGGATTTCAGCGTGTGCCTGGGCCTGGTGTCACTCAAGGCTGCTGGGGATGGCTGCATCTTACTGTGACTCGTGCAGCCTGTACACTCGTGAGCCCCAGGATCTGGGGGTGTCCTGGACCCATGCAGGTGTCAGAACCCTAGCATGCTTCCTGCATCACCACCCTGTTCTGCTGACTTCATTGCACCTGCCCATTGATTTGTCTGTTGTATTTCCTGCTTCTTGTCCCACCACCCTCTGTGTTCCCAGGGAGCAGAGACCTCGTCTGATCTGTTTGTCCCTCTCTCTTGAGAACAGTGTCTGGAACACAGCTGAATAAGTCAGAATGAGAAACGAATGCAGGAGTAGTTCACTACCATTCTGAGTTGTCTTAGGATGCTGAGTCTCTTGACTCCCCTTACTCAGTTTGAGTCCTCTCTGACACTACTTTTGTTTATTGCTTAGATTGCCTTAAACCATTTATGTCAATGCATTTATATTCACACGGCAAGGAGCATTGCACAAGGGTTCTTGTGAAATGAATGGATAACATATCTTGCTGTTTTTACCTATCTTTTACGTTCAACTTGGCCAGTTTAAATTAATGCTCCTACATGCTTCAACTGGTTGTAAATCTCAACTTTTTGTTCTGTAAGATTCTATTTCAGTTTTTAGCCACCTGGCTTAAGCTTCTGAACTCTGATTCTAACAGCGTCATCATATTATTATTCTTGTTTATGTTGTAGTCTCAAAATCCTGGATATTAAGGCGGGGGGCTTAGGAAGAAGGGCTTGGAAATAACATTAGCTCAAGTGGGATCAAGCTTTCATATCTTGAAAGTGGCCCAGGAAAACTTTGTTGAATATGCTGGTAGCTCTCAATTTTATATGAAAGTTTAATAACAGTAACCACACTCATTGTGCACATCGCACTTCCCAGATGCTTTTCATTCTTATCTGGTTCAAGACACAAAACTGAGAGTAACAAAAGAAGTCAACATAGTTTCTATATGTGTCTTTTATAAATTATTTTAGAAATAAAAATAAAAGATCATTATGTAATAAATTTTAATATGTGGTTTTGGTAAGTTCTAGTACATAGTAAATACTAATAGCTGTATGTTAAATTGAACTGAGTAAAAGGATCCATTAAAGCAAATTAGGGTGAAGAAGATAGGTGCTAACAATGACCAGTGGAGCAAAAATTTTCAAAAATTCATGTGTTAGGTTTACATTTACAAGGTTATAGTCAAGGATAATTAACTCATACTTTTAAGCGAACTCCACTGCTGTCATTAAAATCTTGTGATCTTGGGCCAGTCTGGTGGCGTAGTGGTTAAGGTCGCGTGCTCCGCTTTGGTGGCCCAGGGTTCACAGGTTCAGATCCCAGGTGTGGAGCTACACACTGCTTGTCAAGCCATGCTGTGGCATCATCCCATATACAAAGTACAGGAAGGTTGGCACGGATGTTAGCTCAGAGACCATCTTCTTCACGAAAAAAACCCCAAAATCTTTTGATCTTGAGTAAAGAATAATGAGGACGATCTTAAAATACTGTTAAACTTTCTAGATTTACACAGAAATTTTAGACTTACAGAAAAGTTTCAAAATAGCGTTCAATCACATATACCCTTCTCCCAGCTTCACCTGATGGTAATAACCATGTACTTAACTCTATACAGTTTTCAAAACCGGGAAGTTAACATTACAATAGTGTTTTAGTTTCACACATGTAATTAATAGAAGCAATTAAAGTTAAGCCAATTATTAAGTGTATTTATACCAATAATTGTAGCTTAGGGTCTTACAGAAAATTAGTAAATTGTTGTTTTAACAGTAGAATGATAAACTAAATACTGTTTCATAAATTCTACCTTTTATTTTCTTCCTGCCGTACACTTCTTGATCTTGAACCATAACGTACATAATTTCTAAAGGGACCTTGGGAGTTCCCAGCTAATAGCAATACTCAGTTCTATTGTAAAGGACATGCTTATTTTCTGCCCCATTCTCCTGGTCAGCTCAGCAGTGCGTAATGTCCTCTTCTCGTGAGGAGACCTCTGCAGTGAGATGGCTTTGCAGAGTGCAACTGAAACCCTAAACTGCTGGGTGCCTGAACCTGGTAGACGTGGGTTTTGTTGTTCAGCTGTGGGCTGGTGAATCAGGTTGACTAGCACAATTATACCGAGTGTAACATGACATTATGTTTCTCTTATTGATGAAAAATTGCTACTGCAACAAATATATGAGTACAGTTTATAAATGACAAAGGAAAACTTGGAATTACTTAATATTTTGTGGTTTAAGAACAATACTTGAATAATATCTTATGCATGAAAATGCATAGGGTGATATTTCTCTTGTTTTAATATAATTGTTTTCAAGATGAAGATGTTCCAGGGTTGAATCATCATCTTCTTCAGCATTGCAAATTTGTTCTGGAAGAATAGTCCTAAGGAAAAATAGACAGGCAGGTCACAAGTGGTCCAAGTAATACTCTGCCTTCATAATTTAGGAGTTAAGTTTTACGTTTGTTAAAAAAATTCTTTTGTTTTTAAAAGAAATTGCATCCTTTTCTTATACACCAGAAAAAGTCCAAATACGTCAAAGATCTAAATGTGGAAAAAAATGAAGCTGTAGAAGTAGTAGAGTGAAGCGTGGTCATACCGTGTAAGTAGGGAAGTCTCCTGATTTGTGGCTCAAAAGCCAGAGGCATGAAAAGACAGGACTAATAAGTTGGTTTTTAAAAAATGCTTAAAAGACAAATGACAACCTAGGAGAAAGTATTTGCAACTTATATCACAGATAAAGGGCTAATATACAAAGAATCCTAAAAATCTAGAAGGAAAAGGGAAAAGAACAAAAAGAATACCTGGGTAACCAGTTCACAGAAGAGAAAACGAAGTGACGTGTAAACATGAAAAGATGCTCGATCCTATTCATGATGCGAGAAGCACAAATCGAAACTATTCTGCACGCTACTCTCACTTACCAGATTTGCCACAAAAAAATCCAAAAGCTCATCAACATGTTCTGACAATGAGGCTGTGGAGGACCAGACATCATTGAAGGTAATTCAAAACAGTGCAGCCCCACAGAGAGGAATTTGGCGTATCTAGCATTTTACCCCTTCAGCTAGCAACCCTGCTCCTAGAAATCTATCCTAGAGTTGGACTGGAAAAATACAAAATGACATTCCAACAAAGTTATGCATTGTGGCATTATTTGTGGTGGTAAAAGAATGGAAATGATCACGTGTCTGTTAGTAAGGAACTGGTTGAATAAAATGCCCACATAATGGATACTTTCAGTTGTAAAAGGAATGAGGAAATTCTCTATACATTGTTATGGAGTGATATCCAGGATATACTGATAATGTTAAAAAGTAGAGTAGAAAAAAATACTCTCTCTAGAGAGAAAGAAAAGAAAAATTCTTCTGTGTAATAATTTGTATAATAATTATGGGAGGGGATGGGGAATATGAATATGTGTATGTATACATGCTTATATTTGCAAGAGGAAATATTGGAAAGATGGAGTAGAAATTAATTTTTTAAATTCACTTATGGGGAGGGATGGGACACAGTGTAAGGGACGGGCATAGAAGAAAGATAGCTCTTAATATACCTTGTTATACAGTTTTTGACTTTGGAATCATAAATGTTTAACAGTGAAAATAATATTAATCAAATGGAAAATAGCAATTCCTGAAAACCAAAACAAACAAAGACCTTATCTAAATATTAAGTTGTTGACATATTGTTACAGAGAAAACCACTGTATTTCAGCTATGCATCCTTCAGGGAACATGTTCTAAAGACAAATGGAGCTTCCAAAAACATCGTAAACTTAATTCTTTTGTTGTTAGTTGTAAAATGCTATTATCATTTTGAAACTATTATTTATATATTGTAAGATAAAAAACGTAAGTTAATATTGTTGGGGATCCTAGATTTTCAGTGTAAGATAAACAAGTTTAAAACAGAGGAATACTATATAATGTTAAATTTGAATTGGGAATGTCAGCATGAACTCATACTCGTTTTCTTTACAAAATACATATTTCCTGCCAGTCCATTGAAAGGCCTTGAAACAATAACACATTTGAAAGGAACATGCCTGGTGCACAGATTGGGGCCTGTGAAGACTCTTCTCCACTGAGAGGAGCTGGGGCTTTTTGGAGCACGGCTGGCACAGGTCTGCTGTAGGGAATGTAAAGTGAGCCATCCAGGGTTATTAGAAGCCTGTCTAAGACTCAAGAGCTAGCTCCAGGGGCTACCGTTGGCCAAAGACGGGACAGTGTAAGAACAGTAATTGGAATTGACAGAGACATTCTGAATGTATAAAACCGTAATTTCATAGTGATTCCTCAGAGAAAGAGACAAAGCCAAAAACAAAATAATAAAGCAAAAACACTTTGGCACCAACTTTTTTCCCCCGAGACAGCCACTATTAACATTTTAATGTATTTCATAGTCTTTTTCGCTCATATTTAATGCATATGTATAATTTTTTCCAGTTTCATAAAGATATAATTGACATATAACATTCTGTTAATTTAAGGTGCACAACATAATGATTTGATGAATGTATATATTGGGAAATTATTGCCCCAATAAGCTTAGTTAACATCCATCACCACAAATAGTTACAAATGTGTAACCTTAAGCTTCTTACTCTGGCAGTTTAAAGGAAAGAACTGAGTATTTATCCTACCTTTCAGAGTAACAAAGTGGCCCTAGTTGATGAGAAAAAATTCTTTACAGAGGAATTGCAGCTAACGAATGTGGAAGGAATGACAAAAATAGAAATTCACCATTTTGTTACCCCTAAGAAGTAAGAGATTCAAAAACCGTCATCTGTGAGTGAAACCGTTAGTTCGGTGGTGGAGGAGATGCCAGGTCACAACCACCTCAGTCCCACCAGAAGTGGGACAAACAAACATGATATTTTTTATAAACTCTTGACTCTTTCTCTGCTTTCTTAGGAGTTTGTATTAGAATTTCAGAGACAGGGAAAAGAGTAATGGTGTAATCCTCAGGAAGTGACCATAGAGCCCAGGGACCTCCCCAATGACCACACGCCAGAGTCCAGATTGGTTCTTGATACCTTTGTGCTTTCCACGTGGGGGTGATGAGATGACTTGGTTGCAGATGGAGCATAAACAGAAAAATGGGTCCCCAGAAATGAGGGAAGCTGAGTCTCAATAAATGTATTCAGAATTTTGCCTACAGAAGAATCTAGATAGAAGCAGTTTTAATTTTAGCATATATTTAGGTTTTGTGTTCTACAGATTAGAGTGTTCAAAATCACACATGGAGGTGAGAGCAGCACCACAATCTGCTGTCTTGAAGCCTCATTTGAACATATCTCTAGGGTTCTAAGTATTATGTAACATTCTCTATTTTTAAAATTTTTAGTGCAGAAATTCGCAAACATACAAAAATAGGAGAAACCTATAATGAATCTTTATGTACCTGTCATCCAGTTTCAAAGATTATTAACATTCGCCAGTCTTGTTTAATGCAACCTCTTTTCACTTTTTTTTCCTTAAAGTAAATCTCAGATATCATGTTAGTTGTTTAATCATATATTTTGTCAACCACAATTTAAATAGATACTTGAAAAAGCCGCGATTTACCGTATCTTGTTGTTGTTCAGCCTCAGAAAATGTAGTGCTTTCATTTCTTGTACCCCAGGTGGTATAGATTTTAAGTCATTGTGATCCAGAAACAGTTCTCGCAGAGAATGGTATGCTCCATAGAAGGAGACTCGGTCCACGCCATCGTCTGTGAGTTTGTTGAATGACAGGTACAGGTATTCCAGGCCTGGTGCCATGTGGCCAAACACATAGCCAGGGATGCGCTCGATCTGGTTCCCGATGAGCACGAGGTGCAGCAGAGACTTGGGGAGATAGGAGGGCACGTGGTAGAGCATGTTGTAGGAGAGGTCAATTGATTCTAGATTTCTGCAGGGAAAGGAGGAAACAGGCTGGGAACATGAGTGAGGGGAGCTCCAGGGCTGGACAAGGCCTCTCAAGATGCTTGTCGGGTCTCCTGCCAGCACTGTGTGCAAGGCTGCAAGGCTCATGCTCATACCTGGGCACCACATAGCTGCTCGAGTTCCATTAGAGAGGAGTACCACGTTCAGAGAGAAAACTCACATATTGGGGGTAATGGCAAGGCCCAGAGAGGTCCCCAAATATCTCTAAGGTCAACTGGAATCAGAAATGAAGCCCAGAGGCCTAGCCAACATCCAGCTGTCTATCCCTGAAATCATCTTTCATCCCAGCAAGGCAGTGTTGGTGTTGCAGGGGTTCTGCATTGCCATCCACAGTTGATCTGGTAAACTGTCACCTGGGATTTGGGGTGAGACTTGAGGGATCTGGAAAAGTCTGTTAACTGGCCAGAAGATCTGGGAAACGTGGTGAGCTACCTGGTTTGTCTCAGGAGCTTCCTTGTGGCTTCTGCCCACCCAACAAAGACATCCCCTGAGGAACACTAGGTCACTCTGCCACCGCCACATCTGACTAAACCTGGCTGGCCCTTGAGATTTCTTCCCATCTCTCCCATCCTGCTTCTGAGAGACGTCTGTCCTCACTGTGCCACTCAGATCCCTTGTCCCCTCGCCACATGGTTCCTGTCTGCTCTGCTGGACCCGCTGCCGGGGCTCAACCCCATTTGCCCTCCTGACAGGCAAGGCCCCCATGCTGCCCCTTCTCTGTGGCCTGCTGATTCCTCTCCTCAAAGATGGGCTCTATTGTCAGGCCCAGCGTTCGTCACTCTATTGTGTCAGACTTGAGACGGAGAACTAGTTTGGAGGAATGAGGACAGTGTGGTGTAGGATAGTAAAGCCTGGTGCTCCCACCCAACGCAGGGGTGAGGGGAGGCCGCTCCCTTTCTCAGTGTGCAGGGGATTATCTCACTTAAACTTCATTATTGCCTCTGAGGTCAGCCGGGGGAGAGCAGCACGGTGGGCAGCCCTCAGGCTCAGCACTTCACATGGCAGGGTGTCCACAGCAGCAGTGACCGTGGTCATCCTGACACGGTCATGGCATGAACAGTTTGAGCTCCAGGCAAGCTTCTTAAGGAAGAGTGCCATCACCAAGCTGTTCAGAACCGTCACCTCCCTCACATCCCTGTGTTCATACCCTGTCTAGTAATGGCAAAAGGAAGAAATAGTCTAAGAAAGCCAAGCTATAGCATATACTTACTCTTGATTTATCCAGGCTAAAGGAGCAATCCTGTTTTCTTCAATTTTGTTATAACGTAGTACAATGACATTGATCTTTCTGGTATGATTAAAACAAATTTCAGTTATTTCTTCAATTTGGTTATTTTCTAGGTATAATTCCTATAATTAAGAGAAAAGACGATTATTTTTCTTTGTATTAATAATTATTTTCAACTTGACAGATTAAAATGGTATTGTAAACTCTTCTCATTAGTATTATCAAAAGAGTCTTTTACTTCTCTTCCATTAAGTTGTCAAATTTTCTAACTAATTAAAATAAAGTGTACTGTCTCTCATGGTTATGGGATTAAGTGAATTTTATTTAGTTATTTTTATTTAATTATTTAACTAATTTTCTTTTTTGAGGAAGATTAGCACTGAGCTAACATCTGCTGCCAATCCTCCTCTTTTTTGCTGAGGAAGACTGGCCCTGAGCTAACATCCATTCCTGTCTTCCTCTACTTTATACATGGGACACCTACCACAGCATGGCTTGACAAGCCGTGTGTAGGTCCGCACCCGGAATCCGAACCCAGCGAACCCCAGGCTGCCAAAGCAGAATGTGTGAACTTAACTGCTATGCCACCTGGCCGGCCCCTCTTTAATTATTTTTAAACCATAAAATGTAAGATACAGGATACCGTAATAATTGTGTATACTTTCTAATTTACAAAACTTATTCATATAAATTATCTCATTTGGGCTTCAAACCCTTAGAAAATAAGTGGAAATTATCAATCCCATTTAGCAGTGGAAGAGACCAGGCCTGGAGAATGATAAGGTGTGCCGTCAGGGATGCAGCTAACACATGGGGGAAGCTCATCCCGGCTGGGCCAAGCTCCAGGTCAGCCTGCTTCCCACCAGCACGTGTTGTCTGTAATTTTTTTAGGCACGTGTTTGTTTTGTTTTGTTTTTATTGGGTTCATAATAGTTTACATCAATGTGAGATTTCAGTTGTACATTGTTTCTTGACTGTCACCACATAAGTGCTCCCCTTCGCCCACTGTGCCCCCCAACCCCTTTCCCCTGGTAACCGCTGTACTGTTTTCTTTGTCCCAGTACTTGTTTATATTTCACTTAGCATAATTCCCTCTAGGTCCTTCCATGTTATTGCAAATGGGATGAATTTGTCTTTTTTCTGGCTGAGTAGTATTCCATTGTGTACATACACCACGTCTTCTTTATCCAGTCATTGGTGGATGGGCACTTGGGTTGCTTCTATGTCTTGGCTATTGTGAATAGTGCTGTGATGAACATAGGGGTGCATATGTTACTTTGGGTTGTTGATTTCAAATTATTTGAGTAGATACCCAGTAGTGGGATGGCTGGGTCATATGGTAGTTCTATTTTTAGTTTTTTGAGGACTCTCCATACTGTTTTCCATAGTGGCTGCACCAGATTGCATTCCCACTAGCAGTGTGTGAAGATTCCCTTCTCTCCACACCCTCTCCAACGTTTGCTATTTTTAGTGTTAGTGATTATAGCCATTTTAACAGGTGTAAGGTGGTATCTTAGTGTAGTTTTGACTTGCATTTCCCTGATGATTAGTGATGTTGAACATCTTTTCATGTGTTTATTGGCCATCTGTATGTCTTCGTCAGAAAAATGTCTGTTCATCTCCTCTGCCCACTTTTTTTTTAAAGATTTTATTTATTTCCTTTTTCTCCCCAAAGCCCCCCAGTACATAGTTGTATATTCTTTGTTGTGGGTCCTTCTAGTTGTGGCATGTGGGACGCTGCCTCAGCATGGTCTGATGAGCAGTGCCATGTCCGCACCCAGGATTCGAATCAACGAAACACTGGGCCGCCTGCAGCGGAGCACGCGAACTTAACCGCTCAACCATGGGGCCAGCCCCCCTCTGCCCACTTTTTGATCAGGTTGTTTGCTTTCTTATTGTTCATTTGTGTGAGTTCCTTATATGTTATAGACATTAACTCCTTGTCAGACATATGATTTGCAAGTATTTTCTCCCAAGTATTTTCTCCCAACTGGTGGGTTGTCTCTTTGTTTTGATCTTTGTTTCTTTTGTGTTGCAGAAGCTCTTTAGTCTGATAAATTCCCACTTGTTTATTTTTTCTTTTGTTTCCCTTGTCTAAGAGGACGTGGTATTAGAAAAGATCCTTCTTAGTTTGATGTCAAAGAGTGTACTACCAATATTATCTTCCAGGGGTTTTGTAGTTTCAGGACGTACCTTCATGTCTTTGATCCATTTTGAGTTTATTTTTGTGTATGGTGTGAGATAGTGGTTTACGTTCATTCTTTTGCATGTGGTTGTCCAGTTTTCCCAGCACCATTTATTGAAGAGACTATCTTTTCTCCATTGTATGTTCTTGTCACCTTTGTCGAAGATTAGTTGCCCATAGATGTGTGGTTTTATTTCTGGGCTTTCAGTTCTGTTCCATTGATCTGTGTGCCTGTTTTTGTACCATTACCATGCCATTTTGGTCACTATGGCTTTGTAGAACGTTTTCAAGTCAGGGATTGTGATACCTCCAGCTTTGCTCTTTTTTTCTCAGGATTGTTTAGCCTCATGTTTTTTGACTTGCTTGTATTGTAATTAATTAAAAGTTAAATTTAGAGCCTTCATTTAACGTCAGGGTGAAGTTTGCTAGAACTATTAGTAAGTTTTCAACAGCCAGCTGCCTTCAGGTTAAATTCAGTTGGCATTAGAGGGAGTTTTTCGCTCAAGGATCTTGTTGGAATTTAGAAGTAGAATTGGTATATCTTCAGTGTAACTTTCCATTCTTATTGAGTAATTTCCCCCTCTTTGTAGCTTAATTTTGGTATTTGTTAGAAATGGGTAAGGAATCTTTTAGCTTTTTGCTTTTACTTTCGTACGTATTTAGGGGTGAACTAGATCAGTGGTTCCCAAACTTGGTTGTGTAGTAGAATCACTCGTGAGCTTTTTAAAGTGTAAATTCCCTCCTAAACTTGCCCCAGTCAGAGCACACTCATCCATACGCTGAAACTCCACGGCTATGAAGCAATGCCTTGGAAGGAGTCAGAGCACACTCACTATGTGGACAGCACCTCCTGACTGGTGAGAGGGTCTTTTGCAAAGAGAAACTAGGGATGGGAGGGTCAGCCGTGTGCAGCAGACTTGTTGCTCTTGTACTATTCAAAATGTGTGTGTGTTTTACTGTGTGCATGCATTATCTATTTGAAATTTTAATTTTGAAAAAATTATAAATTGCTGACCTCACCCTCCAAAGACCCTGATTTACTGTGTCTGGGATGGTAAGTCCATGAATCTGTATTTCTTGAGAATCCAAGTGATTCTGATGTAATGCCAGGCGTTGGAACCTTGGTCTTTGCAATTTTGATAAATTCTGAAGTTATATCTTCATCTCCAAATAGGAGGAAGAGGAAGGGTGGTGGCCATGGCAGTAGTGTCATATGAGATCAAGGGTCCTCTCTCCCAGTTTGCTGGTCCACAACTATGGGAAGCTCTGTCCTGCCTTCTTGCTGGACGATAGTGTATGCGGCAGAAACAGACCTCAGAGGAGGCGACAAGGGTCCAGCTGGGTCTGCCAGACCTCCATTCTGTTTTGTTTTTTTTTGTAAGGATTGGCACCTGGGCTTACAACTGTTGCCAATCTTTTTTTTTTTTTTTTTCCTTTTTCTGCTTTATCTCCCCACCCAACCACCGCCCCCTCCCACCATACACAGTTGTATATCTTAGTTGCAGGTCCTTCTAGTTGTGGGATGTGGGATGCCACCTGAACGTGGCCTGACTAGCGGTGCCATGTCCGCGCCCAGGATCCGAACCCTGGGCCACCGCAGCAGAGTGCGCGAACTTAACCACTCAACCACGGAGCCGGCCCCTAGACCTCCATTCTTAATGCAGGAAATCGGGGTGTTCAGTCAGCGGCAAAGGTCCCCCAGGCTTCCCCCTTAGTTAAGTGTTCCTTGCTGCAGCCAAGGAGACCACACACCTGGGCAGCGGCGGGCATCTCCAGAGGGAGTAGAAACAGGACAGCACTTGGGCCTGGAGTTAGTCACAGGCCCCTTGGTAGGAGCTGCTTAGAACTGATAAGCTGGGGGCTGCCAGCACAGTCGGTGACCTTCTCTGCGGATTGCTTCCATCCATGGAGGGTCACTACTCATCCACATGGGACTCTGGGGGAAGCAGACTGGGATGAACATTGCAATTCTGGTTTGAGACAGTTTAAACCCCCTTGCAAATCTGGGTGCTTTTTGCAAGTTGTAATTTCTGTTTAAATTCTCTGCAGGACCAGTTTTCACTTTATCAAGAGTCTTTACTAGTAATTCTAAGTTGGATTCATAATCTTGAATTGTTTGAAGGGAAACCAATGCTCCAATTACAGTAAATTCTGTATACAGCACAAAACTACTGAGTTTAATTTGCATCAGAATAAGCTTTTAAAGTGTTTGGTTTGTTGTAGTGTAGTATATTTAAAATGTAAAATATTTTTAAAAAGATATTAGTACCTCAATAGAAGCAGGAAGACCCTGTGGTATAATTCTAAATTTATTTCTTCCCAGACGCAGGTAAGATAGGCTCTTCAAAGGTTTAAAAGCTAAAGGGTTGACATTGGCTTCACTGAGATTGTTTCCTTCCAGTTCTAAGGTGACCAATTGATTTAAGTCTATAAAAAAATAAAATTAGCGTATTAGGATAATTGAAGAAACATGCAATTTCCATAGCTTTTCAAAAGGTTGTGTGAAATGTTCAGTTTATTTGGAGGGCAAAAGTAGCTCTTTCTTTGTATCCCTCTGTAGAGCCTTTCCCAAGTACTTTTCACATCCCAAATGCTCAGTTCAGCCAGGACTGAATGCTGAGTGCATGGTCCAGTGGAGTGGAGGCCTGTTGAGAAATCATTATTGTGCTGTATGATGGAAGTTTGTGGAAGGAGAAGCCAAAGGGGGGAATGGGAGGATCGGGGTGGCCTGCAGAGACAGCGGTGGCCAAGAAGGGACTCAGAACGAGGTGGGCAAGAAGTAGAAGGTTGTGGGAGGTCATTTGAAGCATTTGCAAAGACAGGTAGATATGAAACAGCACTATAGTCAGGGATGGCTGGGGCATAATGCAATGAGGACACAGAAGGAGCACTCTGCTTGGAGACCCTCAGTTTCTGAGAACAGGAGTTACAGCATGAATTCCCAGTGCAATTGTTCACTTCCTGGCAGAGTGCAGCCAGATGGACGTTTTGAAAGGAGAATGATCAAAAATTCTCCACGCATTCAGATTGAGCTACCAAGAAAGGCCTTTATACAAACAGGTTTTTTTTCTAAATTGTTTCTACCGGTCTCGGGAGTGGTGTGATCCAAATCAATTGGAAGCTTGAAGTAGGGGAGTGGCCAGCTCAGCAGTGATGATACCCAGAGGTGTCTGAGTCAGACATTCAGGGTGTAACTTTGGAGTTTGTTCAGGGGCCAAGATTTCTAGAATGGGGATGTTTTCATATTCAACTCATGTCACGAGCATTACGCTAAATGCTCCATGCAACTCAGTTCCTACTCTTAGGCACATGAGAGAAGGAAGACATAGTCTAAGCAAGAGCAGAATACAGTACCATCAGGGTTACAGATCATAGGTGTTAGAAGGTGAGAAAGAGGACATGGCAGTGTAGACTTGAGTAGTATGCAAGTGTGAGTGGGACTAGGCTTTCAAAGATAGAAAGATGTGGGTAGAAATGGCAAGCTGAGGCAACCAGCTGAACACGTGCACACGAGCCCACATGGGTGTGCTTTAGTGTAGGGAAGAGGCCAGCCCTGGAGTGGACTATCCACAGGTGGGGGTGAAAGTTTGAGGGCAGAGGTGGGCTGTGCAGGACCTTTGTACACTAGACAAGGTCTGGCTTTTCTTCTCTAGACGGCAAGGAGCCCCTGGGCAGCAGACAGCATGACATCATCTAATCTGGTGGTCGTGTTTAGGATCACTTGAAGGGCTAAGAGGCAGGATGTAGGGAGGCTAACCAGTAAGCTGTGATAAGTGCTCTTATTTCCTCATAATCTCTCTAATTTCCAAAACTAAAGATGCTGAGAATCCAGCATATTTATCTAGTACACAGTTGAGGTTTTGGAATGTAACAGAAGTTTTCCAGTGAAAAATAGATAATAGAAGTAGACTAATGGTCATTACATGACCTCACAAGAGAGAAAGAAATATAATACAGAGTGCAAATTCATGATACTATGCATTACTTCAGTTATTCTCTAGTTTATGTCTGTTGTGTGTGTAGGAAACACACGAGGTGTGTATTCCTGTGTTTAACAGGAAACAGGTTGGAGTTAGAGAAGGTTCTTGTAGGCTACTTGGGATAGAAAGAGGATGTATTACTAGGAAGTTGGTAAGAAGTCCTTCCCACTCTGGGGTGAGGAGCAACGTGACAGGTTATGGACGTGGACACATGTGCATGAGAATGTTGATCTCATGGTATTCCAAGCGCATAGCCTCACATCATCGTTGCTAGAGGGGCCAATGTGGTCCTGGGTTTTCGTTTGTTTCTGTGATTAATAAAGACAGGAACTTTTTTTTTTTTTTTTTTTTTTTTGAGGAAGATTAGCCCTGAGCTAACATCTGGTGCCAATCCTCCTCTTTTTGCTGAGGAAGACTGGCCCTGAGCTAACATCCATGCCCATCTTCTTCTACTTTATATGTGGGACACCTACTGCAGCATGGCTTGCTAAGCGGTGCCGTGTCCGCACCCAGGATCTGAACCGGCAAACCCCGGGCCACCAAAGCAGAACATGTGCACTTAACCGCTGCACCACCAGGCCGGCCCCTGGAACTTTTTTAAGCTTGTCCACTTTTCTCCTGCTGTCCCTCCCTTCTGCCCTAACACCGTTCCCCTCAATTATAATACCTTCCTTTTCTCACTGTGGGTCTGCAAATCTATCAGTGGCTCATGGGTGAACTCCCACCATCTCAGCACAGCCTGTGCAGCTCTCTGCTGTCCAGTTCCTGCCTACCTTTTCACACCATCTCTTGCTCTTCCCCCCTCACACCCTGTATCCCAGCCCCACAGCACTGCATGCTGTTCCCATAGCACCCAAAGCATTTTGTTTGTTCGTGCCTTTGCACGTACTGCTTCTTTCCCTGGAGCGCCCTTCTGCCCACTTCTCTGGAACTGTATATAACCGGAAAGGTCATGAGTGAAGACCTGCCATGAGGCACAACGAGAGCAGCCAGCTACCAAGAGAGCAGCAACATAGCACTGGTGGTGGCCTGTGCTTGGGCTCACCGTGCTCACTACCAGCCAGCCTGACTGTCAACAGAGGCTCCAGCAGTCAGTAGAGAATCCAGCACCCGAGGGGCCAGCATTGGAGCAGGACTAAGAACCCAGCACCCAAGGGGCTGGCACTGGAGCAGGACTAAGAATGCAGCCCAAACAGAAGAGGGGCCCTCAGCCCACACAGAGAGTGCAGGGGGCTCTCTGGGCGAGATGATAGTGGAGAGCCTCCTCAGTGGCCACCTGCATGGGGCTGAGGCCTCCTTGGTGTTTGGACTATGGAGACAGGAGGGCAGCAAGCAGGAGGCCAGTTTACCCTGGACCACAGTCGACTCTCTGGGAATTTGGAAACACTTGTGCATGAGCATGTGGAGAAGCAGTTGCAGGAGTGTGTAGAAGAGCCTTCCAAATAAGGACTTAACGTTTTATAACGTGTCCTTTGATACAGAGCTGGAAACGTGATGTCACGTGTCGTTCACAGACGGTCAGTTAGTGCGCATGTTCTAAATTAAACACCCCTCTGGTCTTTTTCACCTAACAGTTAAGAAATGAAACTTCCCAATGTCTTTTCCATATGAAAAAGCCCATCAAAATTTGTGTTTATTAATGTTTTTCATGTGTACCCTGAAATCCATCTGGAAATAGAGTATTTCCATAACTCTGTAATCCTCAGATTTGGCAGTTCTCATTATTGTGTTTTTTTCTCATCACCAGAAGTGTTTGTTCCCATGAAGTTTATTGGGAGTGAAAGGAAATAATTGAATTGTTTTACTTCTTTAAAGGCTTGAGTTGTCTACATTAACATAATGAATATATTTTAAATCAAATAAACAGAAGTATCGAGCACTATACCACAAGAACTATGCTAGACTGTTAGGAAGATAAAAAGAAAAATTAGAGGCCAGCCCCGTGGCCGAGTGGTTAAGTTCATGCATTCTGTTTCAGCGGCCCAGCATTTCACCAGTTCAGATCCTGGGCGCGGACATGGCACCACTCATCAAGCCATGCTGAGGCGGTGTCCCACATGCCACAACTGGAAGGACCTACAACTAAAAAATATACAAGTATGTACTGGGGGCCTTTGGGGAGAAGAAGGAAAAATAAAATCTTTAAAAAAAAAAGTTCTTATAAAAAAAAGAAAAACTAGGCAACCTTTGTCTTAAAGAAGCATATTCACAATATGACAACTTCATTTATTCTGCTTGGTCTGAAGACAACCACAAAAAGAGTCAATTCCAGCTGTATCAAATGTACAGTACACGGATACCTTCAGTAAAGCCTGTCCCTCGGAAAGCCAGGCTGTCGTGGCAGCCACATCCCCACGCACATTGTCCATCTGCTCTGTGGGGCGCACGTGCCTCATTGACCCACAAGTGCAGGAGGTGCCAGAGCAGCCCTCTCAAGAACAAGCCTGTCAAAGCCAGTGAGTGCCGCGACATGTGAGCGAAAGCTTCTGTGCTCGATCGTAGTGTGCCCCGGAGCCTCACCTAGAGTGCTACGCACTCATGCTTTATACATAATTCTCATGTGCCAACATGTGCCAACCAAATCGCAAAATGTGTGGAGGTGGCAGATGTTGGAGGGGGTGCATCGAGCATCTGGGGTGATAAGGGCAACCAGTTAACAAGCCATCGTACTGCGTTATCCCCACTGACACCACCAAAACGTCGGTACAGACAGCACCAGAACACATGGCCGTGTGGGTGTGTCCCATGTGACTCTTAGGGCATTAAGATTTCTAGTTCAGCTACTGTGTTGTGAATGATGAGAACCTAAAATAATTGACAGTTTTATTTATAGTGATAGTACTTTTTTTAAGACATCAGGCAGTTTAAAATACTTTTTTAAAGTTTCACCAGTCAATAGTTAAAAGAAAGTTTATCAACTTAAATGGTAAAGTGACCCAAAACACTTCACCAGCTATTCACTTGGCAATACTGCAAATAAAACTTCCACACAACCACAGAAGAAAGGGTATAAGAACACATAGCATAAAACTAAATGCTAAATACCTGACAGACTTCCTTCCTCGATGGCCTGAAGGTTGTTCTCACTGATTTTAAGCTCTTCTAACGTGGGTGGTAGTTCTGATGGAATATCTGCCAACTTGTTTCCATCCATATTCAGGCGCATTAACTTCTTCAGAAGCTTAAAAGGCAAATCTCAAAGTTACTTTTTTACCTGGTCACAAATAAACACATGCAGTGTCTCATTTAACAGTCAGTCTGTGTAGTTAGTAAAGTCTCATACACTCACTCACTAACTCAGGCTGAGACAGGAGTCCCCATGCCCCTCACCAGGCAGACTGGACCCTGTTAAAAGTATTTGTTCCCAGGCATTTTCAGCAAAGTATATTTGATGATTGTGTATCCCACTCACCCAGATTTATGCTGTGGCTTTAGTAAAGAAGAGAAAGTCCTGTCCCCACTGGGCCCGTCATTTTTTTCCAGTTCTTAGGTTTTCACCTTCTCAGCAATAGACACAAAGTTAGTTAAATCATGCAGTGATCTGAATCTGTCATGGATGCTAAGAATTAAGATGGCAATTTGAATCCTTTTAATGTATTTGTAATCCTCGGTTTTCTATCTACACCAAGTAGAAACAGTCGTAAAATAGCACTAATTACTGTGGAAATTCTTCAAAATGAAGTGCTACAAATATCACAAGCTATTCCTTTATGGGACCCAAGCAGTTTTATCTGTCTGGAGAGTGCGTTTCCATGTTTGTAGTGCGTTCTCATTGCCCTAACCAGCCTGCACTAGTAAAACAGAGGGCTGCAGCCTGGCAGATGTTAGTGACCACGCAGAGTGACTCACTGCAACAGTGCTCAGAGGCAATTTCTGCAGTTTAGAGATGGGACAGAGAATCCCTAAACAAGGAAAGGAGGTAATTTCTTGCAGTGTTTTCTTTTGATCAAACACAGGAAATGCATGAGTTCCAGCTGTTGTTCTATCAGAAGGATGGCTAGCATTAGGCAGGATTCCAGTCTGATGTGAATGTGGCCCCATGTCTGGAGAGCACTCATCTCCCAGCCTTGGATCTGAATGAGAACCAGGACCTAAGCTTACAAGAGGCCAACAATTTGTCCAAAGAGTGGACAGAAGACCATCCAAGGGGATAAAGCTTGACCTACTGGGATGTAGTGTGTTTTACTTGGCCTTCTTAAAGTGCACACATTTCTAAGTATTTGTTTACACATAAACCCCTCCTTTCTTGCTTCTGCCTTTGTTTCTCTGAAATTCCTTGATCCTTTCTTGCTTCTGCCTTTGTTTCTCTGAAATTCCTTGATCCTTTCTTATTTTCTCCCTTTTAGGAAAATTTTAGTCAAATCTCAGTTCTTTCAAAGATCTATTCTCTGCTGTTTCCTGTCTTCTCTCTTTTCCCAGACTGTCCCCATGCTAATATTTGTCTGAGTCCATCTGTTTTTCCAGAACCCCTCCTGCTAACGTACCCTTCATATGATTTTGCCCAAGGCTCAAAATAAGGAACTGCTGTCTTGCTGACCGGAAGATCCTCACAGAGTTCCCAGATAAGCTCTCCTTTGTTCCCAGAGCTGCCTCATGTACTGAGAGGCCATACTGCAACATGCTTTTAGCTACTTGGGAAGAAACCACTCCATAAACTCAAAACCTTAGTGTTGTCATTGACACTGTTGCTGCTCTAAGGGGAGGCATAGAAAAACCAGCCAGAAACTGTGAAACAAAACTATATTCGACGCAGAACCTGAATACAGTTTAGGGACATCAAAGAGGAAACTTCCTTGGGAGAAAACACCAGTTACCACGTCTTCCTCCCTCCCCACCTCCACCTGCTTCCAGTACCAGTTGTGGGAAAGTGCCCAAGTGGATTGTACTCACAAATCAGCATGTATTTACCTTGAATGCTTTTGGACCTATGCCTGAAGAGGTGATATTATTTTTGCTCAGATCAAGCCTTTCCAAATTCGGTAACCCATTGAATGCTTCATCTGGAATGGAGGTGATGGAATTGCCTAGGACACACAGCAGTTGCATTTTAGGCCTATGTGCCTATACATACATGCACACATTTACGTGAATGCACACACATATACATACATGTACACGTGCACACACATAGCGAAAGTGAGCTTTATCTGGAGAAAAAGCAGTACTTATAACAAGGACAGAATGTATATTACTTAAGAAAATGCATGTTTAGAAAAATAATGAGACTGGGACTAGACAGTTCACGTAATCAGAAGTTTTACTCTAAGGACTTGTCATGCCCTCCTGCATCATGTTTCAGATGAAGCTGCTTAAAATAGCCAGAATGTTGTTTGCTAGACAATTCTGTTAGTAGTATGTGTTTACAACAAAGGTGTTTCTCTGGAAAGTTATATAGAAACTGATTTTTATTGTTCTTCATATTTTCCCATTGACACTTCCTAGACTCTGAACCAGAAATATGATACTGTTTTTATCAATGAAATCTTGGGAATATCACTTGCCTTCTCTGAGCATCAGTTTCCTTTTCTACATAAGAAGTGTGGGAAGATCGTCTCTCAGATTGCCTCAGATCTAATGTTTTACTTCCATGACCTTAATCTATAGAAGTTCTTATGTGCCTTAAATTTATGGGGGTTTTGGTGAGGAAGATTGGCTCTGAGCTGACATCTGTACCAATCTTCCTCTATTTTGTATGTGGGATGCCTACTGCAGCACGGCTTCATAAGTGGTGTGTAGGTCTGCTCCTGTGATCCAAAACTGCTAATCCTGGACCGCTGAAGCAGAGCGCGCAAACTTAACCACTATGCCACTGGGCACCCCCCAATGGGATTTTGCTTTGATATTTAATTAAGTACAGTAGTCAATGATTTTAAACCCAGGAAATGAGCTTGCCAGAAATAGTGAATACTATAAAAACCACGTGGTGACCCTCTTGTAAAACCTGGATGGTGTGACTGAACACAGGTCATCCATCTTTTTTATAAGACTTTCAACTTCCGCAAATGGATTTTTCTTATGGCCATGCACACTTGGCATGCAGGTGGTGGGAGGAGGGACATTGCTGGAGCAAGAGTCTGGGGCGAGAGAGGAATTCCTTAGGATGTTTAAATGTGATGTCAGGAAGGCCGTGACACTGGCAGTGTCCTATTGAGCAGACTGGCCATCTTGAACAAAGTTGTCAGCTTTTGTCTATTGAGTTTTTATTTACATGGCCATTTATTATTTCTGTGATTTCCCCCGAGATGTGTCTGAAACCCCATTCAGATTATTTCACCCCTGCATGGGCCACCCCCAGTGTGTGCCTTTTCACCCAGGTGAATACCCAGGCTCATCCACTGGCCCCGTCTCCCCACCAGCCAGCCTCACACACCTGGTTCTGCTATTCCTCCACTCACAGCCCTTCCAGGTGCCCTGTAAAGAATATGGGTAAAGGTCTGGACACTCCATGCCTACCAGAAGAGCTAAAATGAGGGGAAAAAACAGCTGACAGGATGCAGAGTAGCGGGACCTCTCCAACATTGCTGGCAGGAATGTCACAGCCACTTTAGGAAACTGTTTGGTACTTTCTTATAAAGTTAAATGTGCATTTACTGTGTCACTCAGCAGTCTCCCTCTTGGATGTGTACCCTAGAGAAAAGAAACGTAGGTCGACAAAAACATCTGTTTGTGCATGTTTATAGAAACTGTATGCATAATCGCCCCAAACTGGAAATAACCCAGCTGGTACCTATGGTCCATGCAAACAATGGCACACCACTCAGCAGTGAGGAGGAGCAAGCTACTGATAAACACAGCAACCTGCATGGCCTCGAGAAGCAATGCGATAGGGAAGAAGCCCAACTGAAAAGGCCACGTGCCGTATGAGTTCATTGCTGTGACATACGGAACAGGGAAAACTGTGGAGGCAGAGAACACCAGTGATGGCCAGGGCTGCTGAAAGGAGGGACATGAGGGAATTGGGAATCTTGATTGTGGTGGTGATGACATGACTACATTTGTCAAAACTCGGAATAACACGCTAAAAATGTTTTACTGTATGTAAATTATACTTCAGTAAAGCTGACTTTAGGAAATAGTCAGTGGGAAATCATGATTTGATTTAGAGAGATTTACTTTATACCTAACTATGCTATTCTGCCATAAACACCTATCTCTTCTGCAAAGTTTATTTATATGTTTGAAGGTTGGAAACTAGTCTTGGGGTCAATTTATATTATGAAATTAAAATATAACATTTATAGGGCAATGAGAGTTATTTACTTTTAAAGCACAAAATAAAACAGACGTCAGCGTCTCTTACCAACGAGCTCCAGGCTTGTTATCCCTGGCGCTGTCAGCGGCGGTATCTGTGTGAGGCCAGCAGTGATGCAGCTGATGGTCCTGTAGGACAGAGAGCACCTGCTTGGCAGAGCTGGCATGCCTCTGGGAGGAGCAGGGCCTGGGTGTCGAGAGGGCGTCCTGAACACATCTCCCCTGATGGTGTCGTCATCCTCCTCCTCCTCGTCCTCGTCTTCCTGGTCTTCGTCGTCCTCCTCCTCCCTCACTGGGTATCCTTGTGGACTGGCCCACCTCCCCTCCTGTCTAGGTCTCAGTGCTCCCCCGACTCTGCTGTGCCCCTCGTTGGGAAGCCTCCCCTGATCTCCAGGTCCAGGGCTCGTTTTCTTTTGCTCCCTCTCTTCATCTTGTTTAGTTTCTTCTTCATCCTCCTCAAATTGAAATTCCTCTTTTCTCAGTGCTTGGCCCGTTTCCACCTGAGGAGCTGGCAGTTGCTTATGAAGTAAATTGGTAGGTTGTCTTTGTTCTGAAGAATCACCAGAAAATTCAGTTCTATCATTTAGTGCTGTACTGGATGGTATACTGGGCAGTGAATAGGAGGCTCCTGACCACGCAAGGGGGAGACAGCATGAGCAAGTTGTGATATTAATCATAGGAAAAATCAGTGAAAATGAGGTTAGTAAATATTATTCCCTCCAGGTATCTGAGTGCAGTTTAAATATGAAATGCATCTTGAAATTTTTTCTTGAATAGTTTTAATAGTAACTTTATTTCTATTTTGTAATATCTGTTATAGACAATTTTTGTTTTGTCTGTGGGCCTTCATGTGTGTTTTTACTGAAGGATCATGCTACCTGGTCACCACAGAGGGAATAATATTGCCACATGATGCAAATGGAAGCAGTCCTGTGGTGAGATTGCAGTCTATCAGATGTGACTCCTTTATAGTAGATATTGCACAGTTGATCGGAATTATTGATAACATAAGAAGTTGTACACTATCAGACATAAAAAAGTGAGACAGATGTATATTTCACTTGCTTATGGTAGTGAAATCAGCCTTTGTTCATAGATTTATTGTTTTTGTCTGATTTTCTTTCAGCTCCATGGGTTTAAACGCATGCTCTGAAATTCAGAATTATCGAAAGTTCTCCTCTTTTTCCTTCCCAGACTCTCTAGTGAAATCATTTTTCCTGCTTGAGACTTATAGAAGACATCCTGGACTGAAGTATAGAGAATTTAGGTAAATGCTTACAGTTAGTGAAGTAATGAGTGGTGCAACCAGCATTTGAATCCAAAACTTCTATTTCAAAAGCCTAACCTCTTTGTTTCTACCCAAACTCTTTTTTCTTGTTCACAAAGCCACTCACAAAATACAAAGACACTTGGATTCCAGCAAGAGGGAAACTGGGTGTGGGCAGAATGCATACTTCCCTCTGAGGTCACATACGGCTGCCCTTTTTAATTTGTGAATGAATTTTAGAGAGGAGTTTTTCTCATAATTACACTTCTCTAATAATAGCAGAATGGAAAAATAATTCAAATTAAGTCAGGATTATTTTAACTTCATTTTCCCCCCCAGAGATATTTAAAATTTAGTCAAAATCTTTTACACTAAATCTTTAAAAAAAAAATTTGATTAAACGTTCTGAAAATACCTGAATGTAAATCAATAAATATTAAATATTAAAAATAAAGAGATAAAGTCACTTTCATTAAACTCTGCCAGAAGAGAAAGAGAAGGAAAAGTGTGAAAGGCATGGCTTCATTTAAAAAGTATGTACAAGGGATTAAACTTATATTTCAACTAAAAAAAAAGAATAAGATGTCCTAGACTCAAATGGTGCTGTTTTAACCTAGACATACGTGTGAGAGCATTTTTGATACCCCACAATGACGGGAGCAGAATGGATTACATCAGAAATTCCCCTCTGTCTGCATTTAGCTGGGACTGTCATTGGCTGTAGTGGGGAGACGTGACAAAGACCAGACTTCAGGCTCACCTTCCGAGTGAAAAATTCTGGAGAGATGTGAGCTCAGTGCGTAGATTTTTCTCCCATCAAAATATGTACATTTACTTAATCATCCTTCTGCTTTTATTTAATACTATACACAAATCACCCCAAGAAAGAACTGATGAAATATAATCATTTGAAGGAATTACTTGAGATTTCAATTCAGTATGTATTATAAAGTCTGTGAGTTATTTTTTGCACATCTCTGGCAGAACATGCAAAAGGAGAATAGGAAAAAATTAGCAAAGGGAAACTGAAGTTATCATATTGAAACATTTAAAGTCCTTCCCGTATATTCAAGTTTATTTTTCCAAAATAACCACAGCATTTCAAGTATATTCCAAGTCCTTTGAAAAATAGCTGAGAATTTCTGAATCTTGCCTTTAAAAACGTTGTGTTTGACCCCAAGGAGTTGGTTTCATTAAACACTTTTATTTTCTAATAGTTTTTTAAAGTCATAATGACTTAGTAAAATAACTGGTAGTATAAACCAAAATACAGTTGCTAAATATTCTAAAGTTCTTCCTGGCAGGAGACTTTTGTAGACTCCTACCCTGTGATGGTCCTGTGTGTGTGGAAACAATCTACCTTGGTCGTAGACAAGAGAAAATGTCCCTGTCCCTTCCCATCAAATTATTTAACACGTGTTTGTTGATTTCATAAGGCATTGGGTTGGCTTTTCTGGGAGGAGACCTGTACTTCCCTCCTGAGGGTCCTCTGCTCCATCACATATGAACCTCAGGACAAGGGACAGTGAGCAGCCAGCGAAAGTGCCACAGAGAAAACCGCTGCTCCCCCCCCCACTCCATTATTTCCCTGGGTTACCCAGGTAGTTACGGGACAGATAGGCTGCAAAACTGGGCTTGTCCTCTCTGGACGCAAACCGCTCCTCCTCTGTGCACCATGAGTTCTTCATCTTCACTTGGGATGATAACTATTCCCACATTGAGCTGGATTAAATGAGATAAGGCGTGTAAGGAACTAGGGAAAGCTCTTCACGCATACTAAGAATTCGGGAACTGTTGGCTGTGTAAATTCCATCACTATATCTCTAAAGCTGAGAGTCAAAGGTGGAATGTGATCTGGTCCGTTTACTCTTCTGACAGAACCAGAGCTGTAAAGCCGAGATCTTTTATTTCTGTCTCCTACCATACGCTTTCCCAAATAATTTCTATGTTAATCATCATTGTGCCAATATTTTAAGTTACCTGATTACTAGTTTATCATTAATTTAAAACTTAAGGTTGCGACAAAATACAAACAAATGGAAGTTAAAGACTAAATTCCATGTGATATTGTGTTTTGGCTAAATATTTATACCAGTATCAGAGCAGACTGGGCAGCATTCTCCTTCAGGTGTGACTGTTTGGGGGCACGTCTGCGGGTGGCACATGGCTTCATCACAAAGCACTCTCCCATTCGCGCAGAGGCAGGTGGTGCAGGGCTCGGGAGACCACACAGCTTGGTTGTACATGGTCATCCCGTTTACCAAACAGTGTCCCTTCTTTCCTAGAAGAGAACAGGAACACATTTAAATTCTTTCTGTGGTTACCAGCACCTGTGAGTGGAAGTGAGCACCGTGTGAAGTCAGACCAGTGGAACCACACAAGAGTTGAGTTCTGTGTGCATTCATGCATAGGGTGACAATACCTTGCGATGTAACCTCTGCAGCACTTCTCACATGCTCTACTCTCACCTCTCACTTCAGCTCTGAGAGTGACCAACTCATGGCAACTTGACTCTGAATTGCGCTTCCATCCTGTCTTTCAGGATAGCTAAGTTAGATAACAGCCACAAACAATCCCAAATCTCAGCTATTCCTTGTTCATGCTGCATGTCCAGTGTGGGTACACAGGGGCTCTGCTCATTGTAGTCACTCAGGAACAAACAATGGGCTTCATCTCTAAGCAGGCTGCCCTGACGGCCTCAGCCGTGGGAATGCGGGGTTCCAGATCACACACGAGCTCTGAAAGTGTATAATTACATTGACCAGAGAAACTTAGACGGCTACACCTGACTTCAGGGGAAACAAGGCAGCGTAGGTCCATCACATGCCAGAGAGCAGAGAGCTGGAGCAGCACTAAAGCGGGGCCCACATCCCCCGCTTCCCGACATGCAGATCGAAGGTGGAACCAGACAGCATACTTCTGTGGTGCTTCTGACCTGAATCCTCAACAAGACATTGCAGCTCTCTCTTTTTTTAGGAGTACTATTATTGAAGTCTAATTCACATAACCATAATCGTGACTGTTTTGAAATGCACAATGCAGTGGTTGGTAGTACGTTGTTTTCTCTACATACAGGGTTGTAGATCTGTGAATAAGTGTGTTAACTAAAGCAGTCCATTAGACAGCCAATGTGAATATTAGAGGGGATGTTTTCCTCAGAGCCTACTGTCATTACTGATAACTCTCCTCCATCTGATGAGACACCTTCCTCAAATTCCACCCCCAAATGAGCTCTCACATCTCTCCCTTCCTTTCCTTCACCACTGTGTCAGCCCAATTCAGGCCCTGCCCATCTTATTTGGATACTTGCAGTAGACTAATCCCACATACCCAGTTCCTCTCCTGGAAAAAAATACATACATATGAGTTTTTTCCTGATTATAAAAGTATAACCTTTTTTACAGAAATGGAAAAGTTGATCCTTAAATGCGTATAGAATTATAAGGGGACCCAAATAGCCAAAAAGTCTTGGAAAAAAAGAACAAAATTGGAGGACTCACACTTCCAGATTTCAAAATTTACTACAAAACTGCACGTATCAGTTTATGCCAGTCTGGTACTGGCGTAAGGATAAATATGTAGACCACTGGAATATTGAGAGTCCAGAAATAAAACCATACGTCTATAACCAATTGATTTTTGACAAGGGTGCCAAGACCATTTGATGGGGAAAAAGTGCTCTCCAAGGAATGGTACTGGGACAACTTGATATCCGCATGTAAAAGAATGAAGTTGGACCCCTGCCTCACAACAAAAACAAAAATTAACTCAAAGTGGATCAAAAACCTAAATATAAGAGCAAAAATTATAATACTCATAGAAGCAAATGTAGGTGTAAATCTCTGTGACCTTGGATTTGGCAGTGGAGTTTTAGATATGACTCCAAATGCACAAGCAACGAAAGATAAAAATAGATAAATTGGACCTCATCAAAGTTAAAAATTTGATGCATCAAAGGACATTGTCAAGAAAAAGGACACTGTACACAACGGGAGAAAATATTTGTAAATTGTGTCTGATAATAGTCTAATGTCCAGAATATACATAAAGAACTTTTCTAACTCAATAACAGAAAGACAAACAACCCAATTAAAAAATGAGCAAAAGATTTAAATAGAGATTTCTGCAAAGATATACAGTGGACAACAAGCTCGTGAAAAGACATTCAACATCATTAATCATTAGGGAAATACAAATTAAACCACAATGAGATCATGCTTCATATCCACAATATTGGCTATATTTAAAAAAATGGAATAACAAATGTTGGTAAGGATGTGGAGAAAGTGGAATCCTTGTACATTGCTGGTGTGTATATAAAATGGTGTAGCCTCTGTGGAAAACATTTGGCAGTTCCTCAAAATTAAACATAGAATTACCATATGGCCTAGCTTTTGGGTACCCCATATTCCACTCCTAGGTATGTACCCAAGAGAATTGAAAACAGGAGTTCAAGTAGAAACTTATACACAAATGTTCATAGCTGCACTATTCACAATCGTTTCAACGTGGAAACAGCCCACATGTCCATCAACAGATGAATGGATGAACACAATGTGGCATATCCTGACAATGGAATATTATTCAGCCATAAAAAGGAACGAAGTACTGATACGTGCTACAACATGAATGAACCTTGAAAACATGCCAAGTGAAAGAAGCCAGTCACAAAAGGCCACATATTGTATGACTCCTTTCATAGGAAATATCCACAATAGGCAAATTCACAGAGACATAAAGATTAGTGACTGCCAAGGGCTGGGTGTAGGGGAAGATGGGGAGTCACTGCTTAATATGTAGTTTCCTTATAAAGCTTATAAAAGTTTCCTTTTGGGGTGAAGAAAATGTTCAGTAACTAGAGAGTAGGATGATTGCACAACATTGTGAGTGTACTAAATGCCCTTGAGTTGTACACTTTAAAATGGTGAGTTTTATGTTATGTGTATTTTACCACAATAAAAAATATATGTATATAAAACCGCTGGAAAACATTTTTGGACAATTGAGAAATGTTTAGTGTATATCTTCTATACTTTTTAGATGCATATTACCCTATATTGCATATTTCTTAAACATATTTGAGATCACATCATGTGTACTACTTTTAACTTTTTTATTTTCTGTTATTATAGCTTGGATATCTTTCCACCTAAGTAAGGAAGTTGACCTCATATTTCCTTAGCAGTTATGGCTACACTATTATTATGATGTCTTTTGAATAGGTTTCCCTGCCTCCAGACTATTTCTTCTCCCCATCATGCTGTAAATGTGACCTAAACTGTCTGTTTTCATGGTAATTGTATGTTATTTCTGTTAACTTTGTAGAAATAACGTCATTCAGAAATATTTGTTTTTCTGGTGACAGTGTATGAAGAGTATTAGCCACAGAATATTGCGTGGTGATATTTTCTTTTGTCTTTTGAAAGTTTTATGTAATGATAACATATGTATAATATAATTACTTTTTTCTTCTAAACCTGGAAAAATGTGGACCATTAAATACTAGTTTTTAAAAATGCCTAGTTGAGGGGGCCGGCCCCATAGCTGAGTGGTTGCGTTCACGCACTCTGCTTTGGCAGTCCAGGGTTTCACCGGTTCAGATCCTGGGCGTGGACCTAGCACTGCTCATCAAGCCATACTGAGGCAGCGTCCCACATGCCACAACTAGAAGGACCCGCAACTAAAAATATACAGCTGTGTACCGGGGGACTTTGGGGAGAAGAAGGAAAAATAAGATCTTTTAAAAAGAGAAAAGCCTAGTTGAAATCTTTGGCAAAATTTCCCATCTTTTCGATCTTTAAAAATTTAGTAGTTTAGTCTATATAAAATAAATTCAGGGGCCTAACTCCATTTTTGGTTGAGAATATTTAATAACCGTGTGTTCATAGAATCATCTGAATAATTTATTTCTATATCTTAGATGACCAATCATGATAAATGAAAAAGCAGTTTACAAATTTATATGTATGTTATCTATATTATGATTACAACTATTTAAAATACATGGCATAGTAAACAGACTGGAAATAAATAAACCAAAATCGTAACTATGGTTTTGTAAATATAGTTGTAGGCTAACTAATTTTGTATTATAAGTACATTCCGTAAGTGATTTTTTTTAATTATTTCAAAATTTATCTTTGTACATTAAACCAAAATATACTATAATAACTTGATCTTCTTTTGAAAATTATCTTCCTAGAGGTTCTCTCTCTCATATGTTTTCTTACCTGGTAACACGTTATAGCTTGATTCTACTCCAAGAAAACTTGAAAAGGATTCAGACTTTTCCTCTGTGCTGTAATCCAGGTTAACCACGGGGAGTGCTGCTGCTGGTGTGGCCACCCTCGTGTGCTGAATTCCAAGCTGTCTGCTGGATCTGTGGGTGGGCGAGGAACCTTTCCTCACTCTTCCGTAGTACATCTTCCTCCTTTGCTTCCTAGGAGTTTCTTCATTTTGTCCAAAGTCAATTTGAAAAATGATAATCAGAAGAAAAAACAAACCTGTAAACTTCATGCTTGCTTTTTCACCATCCAGTTCCTAGAATGAGAATGAAACAGTATTTCAGAGTTAGTGGTGACTCAATTTTTACCTCTGAAAACTGGCTTGTAATTGCCTGTTTGCCCCAGCAGCATCTTTGAGAAATAACACATGTGATATATGGGCTATGTGCTATAGTATTACTGCCAAATCAGAATTTAGAATTTTTCTATCAGAATCAAAAACTTTTAACATCTTATCTTTATCTCTAGACCAGGCATGAGCAAATGTTTTCTATAAAGGACCAGATAGTAAGTATTTCAGGCTTTACGGGCCATATGTTCTCTGTCATGACTATTCCACTAGGTCCTTACAGCATGAAAGCAGATGATATGTACACAGATGGGTGTGGCTTGTGCCAATCAAGCTCTGCTTACAAAAAGAGGCAGCGGGTTGGACTTGGCCCCCGGGCTGTAGTTTGCCACCCTCTCTGGACCACATTGTTGTAGGTTTTCAGAAGTTACTCAGGAGATTTCTCTCCACCTGTCTGCCAAGTCATTCTGTGACTAACATCATCCACAACCCATTTTCCTAGCTCTTCTATTTTATTCTTTTATTCTCTAGCTTTATAATTTTCTTTGTCTGGGAGAGGGAGTGTGACTGTACCATGTAAAAACAGCAGTAAACTACCATCAGTTATGCCTGCCCTGGAGGTCCCATGGATAAGATTCAACGCCATCACCGCTGTGGCCTGGGTTTGTGTCCTGGTCAGGGAACCACACCACCCGTCTGTCAGTTGTCATGCTCTGGCAGTTGCCACAGAAATACAGGTGAAATAAAGACTTATTCAGACATAGAAAAGCTGAAAGAATTCATCTGTAGCAGAATTGCACTACAAAAAATGGTAAGGTAGAAGGAAAATTATATCAAATGAAATTCAGGATCTACACAAAGGAATGAAGACCACAGGAAATTTCAATTATGTAGATAAATATTCTTTTTTATTTTTAAACCTCTTTAAAAGATAATTGTTAATAGTCAACTGTTTAACAGTTGTGTTAATGTAATACGTATTTTGGGGTTTATAACCTAAGTAGAAGTGAAATGTAGGACAACAGAAGCATAAAGGAGGAAGGAGGAATGTACATAGACTGCTGTGTGGTTCTTATACTGTAAGCAAAGTGGAGTGATGACACTTGAAGGTAAACTGTGATGTGTTCAAGATGCACACTGTGAGCCCTGAGGTAACCACTGAACAGAAAGAGCTACAGCTCATAAGCCAGTAAAGGAGCTAAAGTGGAATAATAAAAGATAATCCAAAACATGTATAAATCATGTTAAATGTAAATTCATTAAATGCCACAATTAAAATGCAGAGACTCTCCTATATGCTGCCTATGAGAAACTCCTGCTAACTATAAAGATACAAATGGATTAAAATCAAAAAGATGGAAAAATATATGCCATCATAACACTAATCAAAATAAAAGTGGAATGGCTATATTAATAAAACATGAAGAAGAATATCACCAAGCATAAAGAGAGCCGTTGTGTAGTGATAAAGGGATCTATTCTTCATGAAGACAGAACAATCCTAAACTTTTATACACTGAACAGTACAGTTTGAAAATACATGGAGCAGAATCTGGTAGAACTGCAAGAAAAAATAGACACATCTACTCGAAATTTCTACTTTCCTGTCTAAAATACTGATTTTAAAAACACTAGATCGCTTGCAAGTTAAAACAATGAGGTACCACTACGTACCTATGAGAATGCCGGAATCAAGAACCCTGACACCACCAAATGCTAGTGAGAGTGTGGAGCAACAGGAACTTTTACTCTTTGCTGGTGGGAATGCAAAGTGGCACAGTCACTTTCGAAGACAGTTTGGCAGTTTCTTGTAAAACAAAACATACTATTACCCTACAATCTAGCAGTCACACTCCTTGATATTTCCCCAAATGAGATGAAAATATATGTCTACACGAAAGCCTGCACTCAAATGTTTACAGCAGCTTTATTCACAATTGGGAAAACTTAGAAGCAACCAAAATGTCCTTCAGTGGGTGAATGGATGAATAAACTGTGGTTCATCCAGATAGTGGAATATTATTCAGTGCTAAAAAGGAATGAGCTACCAAGTCATGAAAAAACATGGAGGACCCTTAAATGCGTATGCCTAAGTGAAAGAAGCCAACCTGAAAAGACTACATACTGCATGATTGCAATTCTGATATTCTGGAAAAGGCAAACTGTGGAAACAGTAAAGCAATCAGTGGTAGCCAAGGGTTGGTGTTGAGGAGAATGATGAATAGATGGAGCAAAGAGGATTTTTAAGGCAGTGAAAATATTCTGTATAATACTATAATGATGGATACCTGTCATTATACATTTGTACAAACCCATAGAATGTACTACACCAAAGTGAAGTGTAATGTAAATTATGGACTTGGTGATAATGATGTGTCAATGTACGTTCATCAGTTGTAACTTACTGTGAACATAAACCTGATAATTGCCATATATTAAAAACTTATTGCTAACATCATGCTTAATTGTGAAATAGTGTTTTCCTCTTAAGATCAGGAACAATGAAAGGAATATCTGGTCTCACCACTTCTAGTCAATATTTTACTGGATGTCCTAGCCAGTATAGTAAGGTAAGACTAAGAAATAAAATGCATCCAGATTGGAAAAGAAGAAGTAAAACTGACTTTATTCACAAATGTCCTGGTCATCTATGTAGAAAATCCTATATCGCCTACAAAACAAAGCACCTACAACCAATAAGAGAGTTTAGCAAGGTTTCAGGTTACAAGATCAATATACAGAAATCCAGATTATTTCTATATGCTAACAACAATCAGGAAATAAGGATAAAAATACTACATCATTTATAATAGCATAAAAATGTGAAATACTATATTACACTTCTTTAGAAGATCGCTGCCCTGAAAACCATAAAGCATTGCTGAGATAAAGACCACCTGTATATGGAGTATAAACTGTGTATATAGGTCAGATGACTCAGTTATACATTCTCAGTTCTCCCCCAAATTAATCTATACATTTGTCACAAAGCCAATCAAAATTCTAGAAGCCTTTTTTTATTTGAAAGGTTATTCTCAATTATATGGAAATGCAAAGAACCTAAAATAGCCAAAGCAACTTTGGAAAAAAGAAGAAATTTGGAGGACTAACACTACCTTTGAATAGTTATTATGAAGCTAGAGAAATAGAGATAGTGTGATATTGGTGTTAAGATAGACAGGTAAATCAATGGAACAGAACAGAGAATTCAGAGACTAAACACGTATGGTCAGTTGGTTTTCAACAGACGTATCAAAACAGTTTAATGTAGAAAGGGTGATCTCAACACGTAGGACTGGGGCAATTGCATGGTCATATACAAAACACAACACAAAAATTGATCATAGATAAATGTGAGAGCAAAAGGTATAAAACTTGTAGGAAAAAATAGAAAATTTTGGTGACCTTGGGTTTAACAGAGATTTCTTAAATATGACAATAAAAAGCATGAAATATTTTTAAAAATAAATTGCACTTCATCAAAATTTGATCTTTTTCTCTTCAAAAAGTGCTGTTAATGGGGCCGGCCAGGTGGCATAGTGGTTAGGTTCATGCACTCCGCTTTGGTGGCCCGGGGTTTGCAGGTTTGGATCCTGGGCTCGGACCAGCACCACTCACTCATTGGGACATGCTGTGGCATCATTGCACGTAAAATAGAGGAAGATTGGCACAGATGTTAGCTCAGGGCCAGTCTTCCTCAAGCAAAAAGAGGAAGGTTGGCAACGGATGTTAGCTCAGGCCAATCTTCCTCACAAAAAAAGTGAAAACAAAACACTGTTAAGAACATGGAAAGACATGTCACATAGTGGAAAAATATTTTTGAAATGTATATTCAAAGGACTTGAATCAAGAACAAGGAGTCTTACAACTCAATCATAAGAAAAACAACCCAATTTTTAAAACAGTCCAAAGCTGTGAACACACTTCACCAAAGAAAATACACAAGTGGTAAATGAGCATGTGAAAAGGTGCTCAACATCATTAGTCATTAGGGAAAAGGAAATTAAAACTTCAGTGAGCTTCCACTACACACCTACAGAAATCACTAAAATTAAAAAGACAGGCTCTAGCAAGTGCTTACAAGTATATGGAGTAACTAGAATTCTCATACAATACTGTTAGTAATGTAAAACGGCATAAACATTTTTGGAAGACAGTTTGGCAGTTTCTTCAAAAGTTAAACATGCACCTATCATTTACCTAGCCATTCCATTCCTGGATATTTACCCAAGAGAAATGAAAGCACATGTCCACACAGAGAGTCGTGTACAAATGTTCATAGCAGCTTACTTTGTACTAGACAAAAAGTGGAAGCCATCTAAATGCCCATCAGTGTGTTAGTGGATAAACAAATTGTAACATATCTATACAGTGGAATACTGCTTAGCAATCACCGTGGGTGAATCTCAAAATAATTATGTTGAATAAAAGAAGTTTTACATAAAAGGACACATACATGATTCCATTTATATAAAACTGTAGAAATGCAAACTTTTCTATAGGGAAAGTATATCCGTGGTTGTCGTGAGACGGGGAGTGGGTTTGTCAGTCAGGCAGCTGGAGGAGACTACCAAGGGTCATAAGGGAACTTTAGGGGGTGATAGACATTTATTTTGTTGATTGTGGTCATGATTTTACAGGTACACTTTAAATATGCACACTTTAATTTTTCATTGTCTCCACCACTGTGTTTTGATAGGACTACCAATTCAATATTCAGAATAAGGGAGTGGCTTTGGAATCACATGTCTAAATCACATAATGAGTAAAATCCACAACCCTAGCTGGTCTCAGCTACTTAGCAATGTTGTGTGATCTCAGGTCTTTCCTCAGGCAGAAGTGAAGCCATAGCAGGGAGGACCTTGAGGACGAGGCTGTAGGGTTGACAGTAGCTTAGATCAGGGTCAGGAAATTAGGAATCAAAGGCCAAATTGGGCCTGCTGCTTGCTTTTGGACAGCCCACAATG